TGCAGAGCCAGGCTGCCGTGGGCGATGCTGTCTGATGTTGGGCCCTGGGTTGGGGACCGGGCCCCCGGGGCCCCTCAGGGACCTTGGGCCGACGGCTCGAAAAAAGCCACTAAAGACACATTTTTCCACGTTTTAAATCCACCGGCGGAGCTTGGCGGATGTGGGGATCTCCACCGAAATGCAGCCGGGACACCCCACCCTCCCCACCCCCAGAAGAAGCGGGTTTTCACCATCTCTGTCTCCTGAAACCATCCAACACACCCCAGAAGTTGGCGGATTTCCCTACATAAGCCGTATACATGTATGTGGTTTTCTATTTCATGTTCGATTTTCTTCTCAATTTGATGATTCTCCATTCACCCAAGGAGTGGAGGGCGTCTAAGAGACACACGTTAATACACCTTATCTGCGCCGACGTCCATTGGGCGCCCGTGAAGCCAAGGCCGCTTGGACATTTTCGCCACCTCTGGGATCGTGGGATCATAGTGATTGTGGGGTCTGCCTGTTTTGGGAGCCCTAAACCTTAAACAACGCAATATATTTAACGAATTCTCCAAGATTTTGCGCCGGATGTTGATCATCCAACGAGCCAGGGTTTCAAGTTTCATTCTTTTGCCTTGAGGATGGGGTGTAGTCTCAATAGGGCCTTGCGGGGATCAGCGTTTAGCAGTAGCTCTTTCACAGGCGGTGGAGCATGAACGATCACTTGCCGAGCTTGCAGATTTGGAGTTGAAGCAGGTGACACAAAGCACAAGGTCACCAGACATCTAGTCTAAAGCAACGTCTCGACAGTTCCGTGCAGTTCCCTGTTGGGTAAGTCTTGCAATCCTTGCCGTGCCCATCATGCACACCGGCACGATGACAAAGGTGGCATAAGATAGCTCAACAGCGAGAAGGCGACATAGACTGTAGATTCTGTAGACTCAATGGGCATTCCAGGCTCCCTGGCTCTGTATGATCGTACGAATGAGGTGCTGCAGTACGTCGAGAGCTTACAGAATCAGAAGGTGCAGATCAGGGTTCAACTGCTCCCTTGCGCAGTCCACTGGGACCTGAAGCAAGTCCCAAAATTGCTTGGAGCTGCAGCCTCCCACCTGGAGACATGGATGATTTTGCCGAGGTCAGTCATCACCCTACTTGCAACCGCTAGGCTTCGTGGTATGGAAATCGGAACACTGATAAGGACACATCGGGGATGCGAGGATGCTCTACTGACCTGATGGCCGGGTGTTCTTCTCATCACTACCAAGCTCAGCTGCAGTCACGGGATAGGCCTGTCCGAAAAATCTTGAAGCCTCTACATATCTTTACCTTCCAAACACCTTGAATTTCTGTCCTGAGGACGGTAGTCCCGAAACCCTAAGCCCTAAACCGTGTCTAGGTTGGTCCCCCCCTGCTTATGGAAACTTCCTCTCATATATGAGCTCTTGTCTGAATTCCTGGTATCCCGCTTAGTAGCCGTCATGATACTTTCCTATCTAATCCCTTATGTAACGCTTTTAAGGAGTTTAGACTATAGTACATATGGGGATGTTGAAGGGCTAATCTTGGGATTAGACAGAGGATCTAACTAATCCCCTCCACCTGACACTAAACCCCCAACACCCCTGACATTGAATATCCCCAACACACAACAGTATACCACAATGGGAACATTTGATACTAGGTGGGGTGTGGGGTTTTCATATTCGGGGGAGGTGGATGAATTCAAAAGCCTGAAGCCAGTCCTTGTAGAATCTTACTTGAGATGGTACTTTCCCTAAATAGGAGGAACCCAATATAGACGCCAATATATTAAGATCCTTATTATTGGGACCCCCAAAATGGTATCCCTAATTGCTGGAAAGCTCCAGACTTCTTTTGGCATTCAGGTCCTTAAGGTTTCCCTACATGAGCCGTGGACTACAATCTTGTGATGCCTCAAGACCCTTTAAACCCCTACAGAAACCCAGTCCCCATTTCATTCTCCATATTTTCTGTTTGTTTCGCCAGTAGTACCCCAGTCCCTAAACCCTATTGATCCCTATGTATTCCTTCATACCTGTATATATAATCTCTAAACCCTAAACCCTAAGCCCCTATCATCTTCAATTCTTCAACTCAGGCATGGTTTGGGCCAGAATGACCCCAACTTCATCGTCCTGATCGCGCCGCGCTATACCAAAGGAAGGCTGCCTGGATGGGGATGGCCTGGGTGCCTCCACTGTAGCAGCTGGAGAATATTCATAATATAGTTATACATATATTAATACAGCCCCTAATTTAGGCTGTTACATGGTACCCTAAAAATGGCTACAGTAATGCTGTGGGGCGTCGCATGCACTGCACATGCCACAGAGTTCATGTGGAAGGGATTTTCAAAATCATGGTCTTGTGGGGATCTGTTGGAATGAAGAGTCTGTTCCTGGGGGTTAGAAGGGAACACGGACTTTATTCTGCAGGGATCATATACCTTTCATATTCCCCTATGCCCCTGTAACTCCCAAAAGGTTTGTCCCCAGCCCTTCATGCAATTCTGACAGTTTAGCTATATGCGGCTTTGGACTGGAGGGGGGCAGGGTCTTTTTGATGGCCCCACATGAAACCCAGTAGGAAAGAATTGAGCAGCAGTCATCTCATATTTCATCTACGGTTGCGGCGATATCAGCGCATAAGGCGGACTTCGAATGCCCGAGAGGGAGACTAGGATTCTCCAATGGGTGTGCCATGTATACTAACGCTTCGAGGGTTTCTGTTCTTGTCTAAAGCTCAAGGCTCACAGCCCACGGCCCTCGTACACCTTAAGACCGTGTCCCAATTTGTCCGGGAATCCATATATAACCCTATTGATATAATAGTTTCCATCTTTTTTCTCATTATCCAGGGGTCCTAATTATAAAGCAGAGGTCCTTAAGACTGTCTCCCAATTTGTCCGGGAATTGATTCTCAGGCCCTTGATGTGCTTATACGACGTTCTAAATGATCTAACGAATCTTGATTTGAAGCACTCCCTGGGCAGAGACAGCCTGCCAGGCAGAGCATGTGTCTCACTAGGTGTTTCACTGGGGTTATCATTGGCGAGTGGCAGGTACGTTCTCAGACCGCTTGGAACGCAGGCCAGGAGTTGTGTTTGAAGAGCTGCTGCTATAGGGGGGGCGTTTGGGGTTCAGGGTTTAGGATTCAGGGTTTTGGGTTCAAGGAACGCAGTTAGTGGTCTTTGTCTATCCGGTCTACCCGTAGCAAGATGCAGTCATCCATTCTCGCATGATACGGACCCGTAGGATCTCTGCCTGTACTAGGCACGTGAGAGCTCTATGTAGTTGCCCCAGCAGCAACTGACTACGATGCTTTTTGTTGCCGGAAGTTTGTTTCAGTCCACCAGGCAAGACTTCCTCTTTTCCGAGTTTGCTTTCGCAGGTTCTTGGGAGACTATAGGCATTGGTTTTGTTCTGCAGGTGCCATTGCCATCTTTTCACCCTAAGTATCCCGATCAACAGTTCTGGAAGGCGAGCCAGCACTGCAGTATGCTTCCCGCAAGGATGGTGAATGGCATCCAGAACGCTCGAAGTAACAGTAGGAGATAGTAGGAGTAGAAGGATGCGCTGCCGCAGCAGCAGCAGCAGCAGCAGCAATGCCCTGCAATGGAATGTTCGCCGCCAGAACGCTGACAGTATCAACGAATGCGAAAATTCTGGTTGGGCAGGGATTGGTCCAGACTATGCTGTGAAACGTTTTGGATGCAAGCAAGATGTAACCTCCAAATATATGGCATTGCGGCTTCGCTTCAGTGCCCTTCCGACTACATCTAGAGATCTTTCACCAAGAGACACCATGGTGGAGATTTGCGCTTGCGCTGCGTAGCGACGTAGTGCATGCCGATCTGAGACGCTGTAGCGATTTCTTCTCACATGCAGGTGTGGTTCTTCTGCATCAAGGGAGCCAGTACAAGCGTGCTGCATCTCGGCCCTAAGAGACGCAGGAACACGATGCGTGTAAGGCATCCAGAAAAGCTAGGACCACTTTGCTGAAGAGCCAGCCTTCTTCAAGTAAGTGCAATAAGATTCAGGGAGCAGTCCTGAAGGAGGGGTGTTGGAAAATTCAGGTTTTTGTCCATGGTGTAGGTTATCCCCAAGTGTACTGTACTCCGTCTGAATGCAACATACCTGATCAGATTTCAACATTTTGGAGGTGTGTGGGCCAAGAGAGGTATGCCACCCGGCACTGCCCAATTTCCCCGTATACTCCTTGTTATGGTCAAGGATTGGGTCAACCCGAAACAGTTCGTTGTGACAAGTTTGCATGGCTTTATCAACTTGAGCTTTGCATGCTGCCCTCAAGTCACCGAAGCTTTCTGGAATGAAGTAGCTTTCCATCTACCCTCCCGCCAAACCAGCACAGAAGCTGAAAGAGGCCTTTGAAGACCCTTTTTGAAAACGCTTCTGTGGCTTCTATGGTTCTTTGGGGGAGGCTGCGGGGAAGCCTGGCACAGAAAGCTAGCAACAATGCTCAACGTCGCAACACCAACGCCGTGGCCACCGCTAGGACTTGAAGCTTCATGGGACGTGTAGCTACTTATATCTGGACTTATGCCCCTATTTAGAATCCCTCTAGACGCCTTGAAGGTGAAACCTACTCCACTTATAGTAGGGTTGAGGCCCGACTTGCAAGTAAGTCCCATGAACCTTCAACCACCACAAACCTGCAGCCACAACCACCGCCGCCACGGCCACCGCCACCACCGCCACCGCCACCACCGCCACCACCGCCATCACCATCACCATTGCATCGCGATCGCCACCGTCAAGATCGCCACCATCATCATCATTATCGACACCATCATCGCCATCTTCAGCATCATAACCGACATCACTACCAACATCATGATCACTGTCGTCGTTGCCTGCGGCAGCTGGAGCATTGCTTATTTTCTGCGTCAGGCGCTTGGGTTTCTAGAGTCAGTCTGACTTGCGAAGGGCCATGATTCTGGCCAGTGGTGCGCCGAATTCTGTAACCGACTTTTTTTACATCAGGGTGCCCAAGACCAAGCCACGCTCCTGCTGATCCAGGGACTTGAAAAGCTTTTCGAAGCAGACCTTCTTGTCGTCGATGCCGAACGTCTCGAAGGTGCCCACCCACTCCTCTGGAAAGGTTACCCCATGGTAGAAGTTGGAGTCCAAATCCTTGGCTTGCGGCAAACTGGCATGCCCACGACAGTAGGGCTCAGTAGGCCATGTGTCTACTGCCTACATCGTCAGGAGCAAGCATGTGTCTCCTTCCCTTGCTTCCCCTACTCCATCCCGAAAACAAATCGAAAACAACTGAAGATGTGTGAGCTTCCTTCAGGACCTCTTGGCCACCCTTTATCCTGTTGGAGATCGCCGGGTTGTTGATGAGGTCTATCAAGTGCCTCAGAAACCTTTGCTGCAGCAAATGGGCGTGGGCGTGAGGTTGTTTGGCTTGGTTCGGTCTTGGGGCCAAAGCGGCTCAAAGTGAGCCAGGGAAGCATTGCTCGGAGAAGCATAAAGGCATCCCTGTACCCTCTGCCGTGTTCCAGTTGCTAGAATTCTGAAAGCATGTGGTAGTTGAACACTGCTCCACCGGGTGGAATGTCGACGCGTTTTGTTTCGGGGTTTCTTTTCACACCAGAGTGCGGAATTCAATGCTCGCAGCAGGCAATGCCCAGGAACCTTTTTGCTCGCTCCCCGCGAGCTACCAACTACAAACCAATTTGCTGAAACCCTACATCTATGAAGCCCCCAAAATCTACCTGGAGACTCTACTCGCTCCTCCTGGTTCGCGGAGTTCCACAGGTGCACCTGCAGCCCAGTCAAGATCGGACACAAATGGGGGCTCCTCAAGATGGGGATGCCCTAGCGTAGGAAGCACAGGGGTTTAGACAGCACGTATAATAACTACAATAATATACTGTAAGAAAATCACGGAGGCCGTTATACAGGCAACATTCTTGAGAAATGCCCAAATCGGGCTTAGGATGCTTGCCGAAACTCTCGAAGTGCTCTCAAACCCACAAAGATGTCAAGAACACTAGTTACGGCAGATGAAATCAAACATGCGCACGGCTCTTCTTTGCAAACTGTGTCTACGAGTCTATGAGCTCCTACCCCAGACTCATTCAAAAACATAATTCTAGGCTCCTTCTGGGATTGTCATGCATTACATCCCCCATGCCAGGGAGTCATTCATGCTTTCGTGTGCTACTCTTTCGGTTCCCCGGCACCAGCGTCTGCATCCTCTGCGGGGCTGTCAGCTTGCTCCTTAGGGCTTAGGGGTTAGGGGGTATGTTATTGGGGGTTTATAGGGATAATGGAAAAGAAAATGGAAGCTACTATAGTATATTGGGGGTTTATAGGTGAGCCATAGAAAACCATGGCTGAAGCAGAGAAATCTGATTTTGCGGATGGCGAGCGTCTCGCTTGAACGTATCGGGGCTGAGGGCTTTGGGTTTTTCGGGCCGGGGTGTCTGATCTTTGGACCTGCTGCCTCATTTCCTGGCTAGAATCTAAGCACCAGCTACTGTCCATCTCTAGCCACAAACAGGAAGCAGCCTTTATTATGCAGCCTTCACCAGAAGCTCCCAGCTGAAACGGACAACCCAGGCCGAAGACGAGCTCTGTAACCGGTAAACCCTTGCCATAAGGGCTTGAAAACTGAAACCTTAGCATTGTCTTCTGAATACTCTATACTGTACCTGGACAAGGAATATTGCCAAAGATAGGTGGGATGAACCAGCTATCCAGGCTTCGAAGACAATACTTTCTGTTTCATTTTAGATGATCTTTTGCATTTGATTCTTCGCTGTATGGCCTACATGCCCTACACTCCCTACACCGTAATACCCCTGCAAATCTCGATCTAAACCCGCGAATAACCCCATTATACAAACCACATATAGACAACCCCCCCTTAACCTTGTACATTCCTCTGATATCCCTATAAGGCTTCTGCATTGGATTCTGGATTCCACCCAGAGCCTCAACGCCACGTAAATTCGCAAATAAAAAACCTCTTGAAAAACAGATAGGAGCCCTTAGATATTAACCCAAACATATCCCTCTAATGTCCCCTTGAGGCTTCTAGATGAATTCCCCCTTCTACCCAAACCCTAAAGCCTCTATAGATCCCTATATGACCCCCTCCCAAAACAACTCCTCATATCCCTAAACCCTAAACCTGCAAACTTGAACCCTAAACCCTAAAACCCTTATACACCTTACCCCCAAGCGGCTGGTAGAAGTTGAGCCAGTCCCCATCTGGGAGCTCGAGCTTCGGCACATCCGTGAGAGGACGGCAATGCCTCGGCATTGGGCACTTAGGGTTTAGGGACTTTTTTTAGGGTTTAGGGTTTGGGGGTTTAGGGTTCAGGGTTTTAAGATTGAGGGTATTAGGGTTTAGTGTCTAGGGTTTGAAGTTGTCAGGGTTTAGGGTTTGGGTGTAAGACTGACCTCAGGTTTAGGGGGAAAAGTTACACGTACTCGAAAGATGGTTGTAGTTATGATCGCCCTCGCTGTTCATGGCAACGCATGAACCCACAGTAGTCCTCAAAACCCAGGACGGGCAGGGTAAGATACGTAAACAGCAGTCCTGTAGCTAATGCACAGATGCAGTACCTCGACACATGGAGGACATTCGGGCCGCGCCCAAGATAACATCTGGGCAAGCCTTCCCAACGTATCCTCTGGTAAGCCAGCACCTATCCAACATCACCACCTGGCTTTCCTTACCAAGCAGCTCTTCCGGAAGCTGCGCCGGCGTTTGAGGGGCCGCTTCGGCCGCGGGCGGCGGAGGTGGCGGCTTCCTGGGGTGTACGATTATTTTGTGAACTCTGAAATGACAAGAACAAATTATTTTCAAGCGGATTTAGGGCTGTGGGTGTTTCTGGGGTCTCGGGCAGCAGGATGATGCCTGGTCCACTATTGAAGCTCAGGGGCTCTGGTCTGGTAACGCAATGGGTAGGGGGAGGATTGCGGTTATGGTGCAGAGGTTCTGTTTGGTCTTTGGAAGAAGGGATGGGATGGGTTAGGCTTGCAAATTCTTGCTGGCAAGTTGTATAGACCCAAAGTATGACCTCAGTGAGCACCACATGTCCCCTCACCCTTGGCTGAAACATATGCAGGGGTTGCTCCAAATCACACGCTCCATTTTTACGCACATGTCTTTCAAGTCCCTGCAATAGGCACAAGAGACTTTCACCATGATACACCCGATACTATACCATGATTCAGAAAGAACCCTATGTGGGCAGACCGCCCCAGCTTCACATTCACAGCCCAAGGTTCCTTGGCGGCTCGTCGTCTGAGTCCTGCCAGTGACAAATGAAACCTAGATACTTCAGAGCAGGGGGGCGAAAGGCTCATCAACAAAAAGGCCAACGTGTTCCCCTGGCAAGACCGTCTGGAGATTCCCCCCCTTGCCCCGGCCTCTGACACTGAAAGTACTGATACATCGGAGCGTAATGCCAAGCGATAGGCAAGTAAGAACTATCGCTGAGCTCCAAGGCTATCGTGACATGAGTAGCTACACAGTAGGTTGTGACTTCCCCAGTCATCTTTGACTATGCTTATAGCATGTGTTGCAGCAAACTCATGGCATGGAACAACAAAGTCTCAACTGCTGCATCCTCAAGGTGTAGGAGTTCAGTTTTTGTCCTGCTTCTAAATCCTAAACTCTAAATAATACATATATATATATAGATGTACATATATGTACATATATATATATATACACTCCCAATATAACCCCTATACAGTGCTACTGGCACTCATGTTTAGAAGAAAGGTCAGTAGCAGACAGGTACCTTTTCTCCAACTGCATCTTGGAATTTCAGACAGTCCTGCCCGCAACCATCTAAGAGCACAAGCAGAACAGGAAGGTGCTGTTTGGGAACCCCCGTAACGACATCTACTTTATTCTACTTTGACCTGAACGGGTATGCTAGTCAGTACGCGAACCGCAGAGATTACGCATGAACACAGGCAGAAGATGCCTCAGGTCACGAAGGGAAGCAGGAGGGTGATAGTTCCAGTGCCTATTGCGGGTCAACAAGCAGCACCGCTCCTCAATCTTGTCAAACTTTGAGTAGTCAATGCCCGGCATGCTTCGAAAGCCTCTCCGGTATTTGAAAGTGGCTTAGGCTTGATGCTCAGACTCATGAAGCCAAGACAGGAGTGTTCTGAAGGTAACCTGGGGATGGATGCTACTGATTTTCCTTTGCTCCTAACAGGTCACAACGTGATCTCAAATCTCGGTGGCTGGAGCTGGCTGCTTTCCAACAAGTTGCAGATGGGACTCTGCATATAATCGACTGGCTCTTTTTAAGGTGTTGATGTAGGCCGGGTCCATGGGGTCCACTATGGTCAAAACAACCGCATCCTATCTATATGGAATCGACACAAATTCCTTGAATTTAAGTTATTGGAAGCGAAACAAATTCGTTGAATTCCCGGCAGTGTGGAGATTTCTCCTTAAATGACCTCGGTAACATCCTAAGACCGAGCCCTATCTTTTTCATCAAAACATCTCTCTAGGGTACCTGAAAGGCCCCCTGTTTCAAGAAACCCCCGTCTTGGCTGCGCCGTGAACCCAGTGCTTGATCCCTTGCATGCGTCTCTGCTTTTTGAGGTCCGACTTCACAGACTCTCCAGTGCCCATCATAATGTCCCATACCCCAAACTATTGCTGATCCATTCTGGAAGCATCATCAAACAGTTAGCCCGCCCCCCATGCTAACTTCCATTAAACGAGGTGCTGGGCGAAGTCGCTCTCAGGAGCACAGGGCACTATGAGCCGAAAATCATTCGCAGGCACGGTGGCAAAGGCTACCAAGACTTATAGACTTTGGGCTTCATGCGAACCTCGCAAAGCCGCGCAAATTTAAGCCATCCCAGAAATGTGATGATGGAGCTTACCAAACATCTCCGCCGTGCATGACGAGCTAGAACACGGAAGGCCATGTGACATGGCAGTTGACATTACCTCTGCCAGTGACGGCATTCAAGTTACGTACGTGCCAAGCTCCGACTGCTGGGTGGCCAGGCACAACCATGACAGGAGCCCAGTAGGTACGACGCAAAACGCAAGCAGGATCATTCTGACTCAAAAAGGGGATCTCAAAGAGCCAATGATTCCCTTGGGCACCCAGCTCCATCGAAGGGCACATAGATGCTCACCGTCCTGTCGCTCTGATCCTCAGAGATGAGAGGCAAACGTTTATGCCTGGACGCAGGACGCATAGCTCAAACCCTACGGCACGAACAAAGGCATGAGACCCCTAGCCCTAAAAAATGCGATTTTATACCAGAACCTATTGAGGTCCATACCCTGGATCTTAAACAGAAGTCAAACTGCAAGGCCGAGAAGTGCCTTGCTCAAGTAAGGCCACCGCCCAAGAGAATCTGGAGATCTTTGTCGACATCTGAGGCGTGCTGGTGCTGCGGGTATACAGGATGTGTCTACTAAGTACGCGTCCCTTTGCTGCACTTACTCCTCTCATGTCTCTCTTACCCTGAAGGCTAGATTATTACTATTATTACCACGGGTACTACTTTTACCATTGTTGCTATACCTCTCTCTCACACCGACTCGGTCAACATCAGCGCCGAATGTGCTCGTTCTCAGAACTGAGCAACCTACAAATGAGCTGTACTACTGTATTATTTACCATTATGAAATTCGTTATGGCAAATGCCGGTTCGTGTTTCTAAGGCGTGTTTAAAGAAACCTGGTCTCATCGTGAGGGCTCTTGAGAGCAGTGATTTCCTAGCAAAAGCAATGGGCAATGGGCGGTCGCATCTGCCAAACATCGTGCGCTAGGTCCCAGCATCATGAGTTTCAGGTCTCGGAAGCCTCGAGCTTGGGCTGAACATACAAAATTGTTTAGGGGTTTAGGGTTTAGGGGTTTAGGGTGTAGGGGTTTAGGGGTTTAGGGTTTATGGGCCTACTTCAAATTGGTGGTGTCATGGGGGGTTTTGGTGTCCTCAACCTCCATCAACGAACATGAAACCATGAGGTCGCGCAGTGACACTGACATCTCGAGCTATCACCCCCTGCGATAGTTCAATGCCGCAGCGTCTGGTCTCAAATGCTGATGAGCATATCGTCCCCCTCAAGTAGATAGAATGTAGCTTGGGGCATATTATAATCAGATCCCCTTATACCCCATATTCTATCTACTCAAGGGGAACTATATATTAGCCATCAACTTCTTGACTCAACAAGCACACATGCAAAGTTACGCTGCAATAGCTGTGGAATATCGAGCGCTGCCAAATTGCATGGTCGCTCTGTTGTGGCTTTGAACCCTGACACCCCAGAAACGTACCCAGTCCTGCGGAGAAGCAGTCTACTGTCTCTCAGGGCAACACGTCCAACTGTCGGTCCAGGTCATCGAAGTTAGCCTTCAGGCTGCCAGGGCAACGACAGGGGGCGGGGCGGCGGAACATTAGCCCGACATGGATATCGATGATAGTGCTCTCCCACTAGGTAATCAACACAACATCTAAAAGAAAAACCCTGCCACCAACTGGGAAAGCTGGCTGGTGTCACCCATGCACGCTTAGCTTGCAAGTGCTCCTAGGCCCCTGCCAACGGCCGCTGGTCCTCGGGAACGACCTGATCTTGCGAGCAGTCTGGGTTCTGAAGAAGGCAGGCAGCTAGCAGCTTTGCAGGGCGCAGGTCATGCAAATGTGCTGGAAGGTCGGTCAGCTTCAGGGAAAGCACGCCTTCGCATGTCTTCACCATGGTTATACGGTTAAGCCAGGATAGACTACTTAGCAGTAATTCAAGACCAACAGCCGCTTGTCGTTTGGGACGGGAGAATTTTCAGTACTATTGCTTTGAGAAAGAGCAATAGAAATAACAGTAGGAATAATGCAACTCATGATCGTACAAATAAAAGTGCAATGATTACTGTAGAAGTGATAGTACTTCCAGCATCTGCAAGCCAAAATCGCATAAGGTCAGCGGCTGACCTTAGGCGCGGACATTCGGATCTAGGCCGTCCTCCGCGACCAACGCCTGGCCAAGGACTTCATGGGTTATAGAGTTTAGGGGTCAGCGTGCTTGTAAGTTCCTTTAGCAAAATTGGAGTTTCAAGGGAATCTTACTGGCAGCGGGAGAGATGATGCATCACCACTACAATGCTCCGAAAGTTGGATGGTTCCCTGTTCGGAGTCCACCAGTACACAGCGTGCATCCTTGTGAAAGCTGACGATGACCCTCCCGAAATTTCACAGCGTACACCCTATAATACAAATCATAATCATGCATGATTTGTATGTCTCTGCAATTAGTACTAGTCTCAATAATATAGTCGATACTGCTAGGACAGTACTGGCCAATGCTGCGGCCGCTGAGAGTCGGGGCTGCGGCTGCGGGACACGCAGAACCTTCGGCATCTGTGACATCCATTCAACTCAGAAGTACGCGGTAATCAGCCAAAAACCCTTCAGCCCCCAGCCTTGGACTCTGCAAAAGGACTGTGAAGGAGGCATAACTTGCTAAATTGACCATCTGGAACTCGAGCATCCCCCACACAAGCCAACCTTGTCCACGTTGACTTGATCCCAGGCTTGATAAAAGGTGTTGACATCCTGCGGTCGCTCAGGTTCTGTCTTTTCTTTTTTAGTGGGCTGCGGATAGGGAGGTGCGAAGCCTATTGGCTTACTGCGCTGCCACACGCATGCTTCAGCAAAAGCACCGAAACATGCCATATGCTTACAAAGTCCCATTTTTCGGCTCTTTTGCGGGAGTGGTGGAGCTGAAAGCAAGAAGTTCCGCCCGTGCAGAAATGCCCTATGCATGCAAAGGTCGCACCAAATCCCAGCCCTAACCTCAAAGAATGTCTGGCTTCTGTCCTTGTCATCCCGCCTAAGCTTGGGGTCAGTGCGTGGGCCTGCAGCAGAACTGGCCTTGGCTGGCGGAAACGGAAGTACCGACAGGTTCTGGAAATCATGGTCTGAGGTCCTGAACCGCACAGCGAGACATGTTCTTCTAATAGTGCTTCAAAGAACAGAGATTTGAATCGTATGGGGATTTGTCGAGAGGTTCATGATGTGATGCGGTGCAGGATTCGTATGCTTTCTTGGATTGTCCAGGCGCTGTAGGGTCTTCTTGTTGGCGCTAGCACAAACAGCGTTGGTGGTGGTAGTCGTAAGTACACTGGTAGTAGTCGTAGTAGCAGCATTGGTTGTAGGGCCCTGGCGGCGCCCGAGCCATTCAGTGCAGTTCGGCCCTTCTTTCGGGGCCGGTCCTCAGGACAAAGGCGCAACTTGTACTTTGAGCTCTATAACTACAAGTTGCTCAAAGGAAGGATCCCGCAGCTTACGCTACCAATGGTATCTGATTCTTGCAACATCCAAAAAACTACAGCTTTTGGGGATCCTCAAGGCTGGGATCACAAGAGCTCTATTCATACAAGCAACTGGCATGTAACTTTGCACGATGGGTATAACATGATTACTGATAACTGGTTCTGCCATTCGGTCATGGTTGCTGCATAGCGTTCGAGTGTTCCATCATCCGCCTGACATCATATGATGCCCTTCCTGACGCTACGGACTTCCACGGTCTTCTGCGTTCACACGAGGTGCAGCCTACTCAACAATATGAGATGAAATTCAAAAGCGCGGTTGTAGAATGTTGTAGATGTGGCAATGATACTCGCTAACCCGCGGGCTTTACTCGTGGAAATGCAAATTGTCTGCACCAAGGGAGACCTTAATGCTAGGAGCTCGGCATCCTATCCTGCCCGTGAAATCTAGGAGCGGTCAGTATTAATGACCCTCCCAAGTAAATAGTGCACTGGGACTATCTTAGTCCTGGCTATTCAAAGCACATTCAGACACAACTTGTTGATTTAGCTTGGTGCTATTCATCTCAGACAAGCCACTTCAACTTTGTCTTTAGTAGGTCGTAGTTCTGTTTGCTGTCTGTTTCCGCGTCTTGCGAACTGTTAGTTCCTCAAAGCGGCAAGGACATTCTGTTGAAAACGGTTTTTGGCATTTCCAGACAGGACTGTTGTCTAATCTGTATGGATTCCCATGGATATCCGGAGCCGTTTTTGGGTGTACTCCGGACATCATACTTCAACGGGAGACCGAAAAAGAGGCGCCGAAACTGACAACCACTGACGTGTTCCGAGGAGCTTCGACACTGCCCTAGTACACCCCAAGCCTCAAGCCCTTGAATCCTGAACTTCAAACGACATAACCCCAACATATTATAGTAGTTTCCATTTTCTTTTCCAATATCCCTATATAACCCCAGTATATGATAGTAAACCCTAAACCCTAAACCGTAAGCTGAGACATCCACTTCCTCCGGGCTTGCCCAGACGTTGACCACAGGCCGCCAGCCTGACGGAACTTGTCAAAGTATGGGCCGTCCAGGTGCTTCGGGGTCATTATACAATATTTTTGGCGTTGGGGTTATATTGGGGGTATTTATAGGGATAATGGACAAGAAAATGGAAACTACTATATTATGTGTACAGCATTATTGTATCGTTTACTTATAGTTTTTGCTTGGCAGGTTGTGTTCCACCACCTTTCCTTCGTGGGCTCCAAACGAAGCACGACGTGGTCTGGAGGGGATCGCTCTAACGCTCACTATGTAGAATTGCCAGAGTTGAACAGTTGAAGATTCTTTGAAGGGCTGGCCTGCATTCGGAAACGGTTGCTCGTGTCAATTGAGAGGCGTTGCCCTTCTGACAATATATGTCCCGTCGACATACCACAACAGTGTAGCCCGTCATCATATTATGCAAATGCAGTGGAACAAGCTCTATCCATGAAAGACAAGACACTGGCTTTTTGTCACAAGGGCCTCACTAAAGCCAACCAAGCACTAGCAATGAGTAGCCTAGCTCCTCGAAGATGTCGTCACCGGTCTGAAGAGCCTTCAGAGCCGTCACGGTGGACGGGTGCTGTGGATGTGTTCTGGAAGTAGAAAATACGGAATGGGAGTAACGTCTTCTAGCCTATTTTGCAAATTGGCTAAGCGGAGTGTTTGCACAGGCGCCACTGTTAACAGGTAAATGCTTTTTCAGCTAGCACTTGTAGTTGGCGCACCCGTCCGGCACAAACACGCATAATACACACACCGACACCGTTCCCAAGTACGTGGCACGTTGTAGCTCCCACCGCCATCCGCTCATGTGCTTAGCACTTCCTCAACCCTGAGCTACAAGCGGCCACCTTCTTTTGCACCTCTGTCACGAAACCTCTCCCAACAAATGAGCATCTTCTGGAGCCCCTGAGGCCGCGACGACACGGAGTCCCTGCAGGCCTTTTTCCCTGCAGGCCTGCATAAGCAAAGTTGTCGACACACTCATTGGTTGGGCAAGTTAGGGTTTTTCAAATATTTCTTGTTTTTGCGTGTGTTTCGGCATCTCCTGGCCGGGAGGGTGTTCGACTGCAAGACGGTTTGGGCGGGAGCTTGGGGGGGTAAACTGCCTGGGGGCTTGTAGTTCAGTGTTTCTGATTCACTGGCAAGCCTCCGTCAAATTGCATTGTGTTGGATGATGTTTCAATTGGGACGTACCACATACCTTGACTTGTTTGCCATGTCGCATCCCGCCTTTGAAACTTGAATAGTTTTCATTCAGAGGGGTATTACCGGGACAAATTTGGGGCACAGGGCCTCTCAGGACTCTCCGAGATGAAGCTTTGGAACATCTGCGCTCTGATGCATGAAGCGAGCTGTGAAACCCAACCAAGATCGCTCTCTCTGACGCTTTCCTGCACAGCCGTGACATCATCAGTCCCCACATCCCTGCAAAGGAGCCTCGTGCCCGCGTTGAACGAGCATCTTGCGAATATCTCGCTGCTCATCGCCAGGCCTCGCCAACACACAGACAATCACAGTGGCTCGGCGATCCTGCAATCACTTCTGCCTACTAACCACTCCTCCTCCTCCAATTCCTCTTCCTTCCTAGTTCCTCCGCCTCCTCCTCAGATCAGGGGTTCCTACCTTGCGACTGCTACCCCCAAAAAAACTTGGACATGTCGATGATATTCCTCTTCACTCACTGTCTCCGTCCATTGCCACGACGAAACGCGTGCGAAGTTCAAAGCCTTTTTTAGTCATCAGGAGAGCAACTCCTGCATGTGACTCACGAACAAGGCCCATCTGTGGCACGCTGAGCCACTTGTCTCGGTCAAGACATGCAAAACGCAGGAAATGTGTGCAAGAGAGGCCGGGCTGGCAAAAAAACAGTAAGGTGACCGCTTGCACCAACTGGGAGTTCGCCAAAGATCCCAACAGTGGAGGAGATTAAAATGAGGACCTCTGTCACAGCAGAAACCGATACACAAGGACCACTGTTTGAGAGTATTCCCGAACTTGGAGCCGAGCACCACCGCTAACTGCAGGACGTGCCCGAAGACCTCGCAAGGGACGGCATCACATGCCCGGTCTGACATTGATCCGCATAAGGCACCGTGGGTTACTTATGGTAAGCGGTACTGCCAACAAAATTGACAACCTGTTTGAGATAGGGACAGGGAATCTCAGCATAAGCCTAGCCTACACACCACCCCAAACAAGCACAGGACCGTGACAAGCGCTTTAGGGCCTAAAGGGGTTGCCATGCTTCTTTGAAAGGGCAGCCATGAGGGGCATTGCCTTGCCTGTTTCATGTTTCCTGACAGCCAGGACAGGTTCTGAATGGCACCTCCAGACGTGGGTCTTTGGGACATGGACATGCCGTACGGGTTCCAGCGCTTCCTAGAACGACAAGAATCAAATGCTATCATACATAACATCTTGAGAGGCACCGCGCATCCATCACCCCAGGAACAGCAGTATGATTTCCACATGTGCAAGACTACACGCGCAGAGGCTCTGCACAAGACAGAAACATCGAAAAAGCAGCAGCACAGCAAAGACCTAGGCCAAGGCAAGCTGCGTCCTCAGCAGATATGCCTATAGCAAGCCAAAAATATTGACTGCATATGAGTAGGGTCCCCTAAGCAACTCCTGAGCAGTACAGTCTCCCTCAAGTGTGAAAGTGCCTCAAAATTCCTCAAATTGCAAAAAGACGCGACATAGGACTTAGGACAGGCAAGTTCAGAACGCTCTAATACAATTTGCCCAGAACATCCTTAAACCCCCCCGCCACTGATTCCAACCTCCAAAAAAAATCGTGCAAACTTACACAGTGAGAGCAGCCATGCGTTTTCGTTACAGTTTCAAGCACTAATTACACATTTCAGGAAGACCGGCTGAGCCTGAGGGAGGACGTAATAATTAAACTGCTTGAGGCGGACGAGGGCTTGCCCACCTGCATCCGCCTTCCCCTCAGAAACCCCAAATGCCCCAAGGCTGCGGCCCCATCCGAGCCACAAAGCAACACGCCGACTGCTTGCCCACCTTGGAGGGGTTTGCAGTGACTAAATTCAAAGTCATCTTTCAGCACTCTCCCGTTCTGGCTGCGAGAGGACACTATGAGGCAGTGCCGTGAAGTTGGCACGGCGCGTTTCCAGCGAGAGCACGCGCTTCGTGCTTCGGGGAGCATGGTAACACTTCGCGTGGCGTACTGCACATGGCTCCATAGGACCCGGCATCCTTGCAAGTGCTGCTGTTGTTACGCATAGAGGACCCTCATCAACGGAAAGGGCCACATGCCAGCGTCACACTTTGAAGAGCAATCTGTGGCGCAAGCAGCTGAAAGCAAACAAATAACAGCAATAGGCCAGCGCATTTGACCCTCAACCCCGCGGAACAGAAATCCTCTCCCTGTGACATGTGACGTTTCCCTATGCTGATGCAGGTTGAACGGTGCAGTTTGAGGCAGGGTTCGGTGACATATCAAGCACCACCAACTCTGCAAAACCCAAATCTTCCCAGCCGGGGCATGATATAAGGTTGCAAGGCTCGGACATGGCTTGCGCACATGCCACATGAAGAATCAATACCAATGCGAGGCGTCTCAAACTATCCTCCAAACGGTCGCCCCTATCCTCCCTTTCACATCCCCTCAAGGGTCCCTTTAGAGGCCCCCTTTTTTGAGAACTCCCCCATGCAACGCCAGATTCCTCTAAGAGCCCGGGCCACTCTGCGCCACAAAGCAGAGTCCGCGCCCAGGACCCTCGAGGTGGCCCTGCAAAAGGGGTTTAGGGGTAAGGGGTTCAGGGTTTAGGGGTAAAGGGTTTAGGGTTTAGGGGTAAGGGGTTTAGAGTTTAGGGTTTAAGGTTTAGGGGTTTAGGGTTTGGGAGTTTAGGGCCAAGTTTAGGGTTGAGAGTTTAGAGGAAAGTGGTGGGCATACAAATGTTCCAGCTATTAGAATACCATGATAGAATAGGGAAGCCAATGTAGCACCTCAGCACCACTCATCTTTGGGGGAATACTTAGAAGCCTATTCCTATGCCTTTCTTGGGTTGGGGTCAGTATGTGTCAGAAGGACCTCAGGAAATCTCGGAAGAGCTTCAGTCTTGGACCCAAGTCCAGAATTTCAGAAACACCAGCCCATGGTAACAGGGTTAGACTCAGAAAGCCAGCAGTGCCTTGATGTCCTCTTCTGAGGAGAAGATCAGCTCAGACTCCACGATGGCGCACAGAGCCTCGGCCTGCGCACGCTGAGGATTTCATTGCTTGGCAGTTTCCCAAAATAGGGGGACCCCAATATGTTCCCCAATATATTACAGTCCCCATTATTGGGATCCAAATTCATACCCCTAATTTTGGGGAACAATCATTTCAAGGTTTGGTGTCAACAGTTTAGATGTTCAGTGTTGGGGTCTTGGGTCAAGGGCTTAAGTTCTATAGGGGTCTACGGCTTAGAACTAGCAATGCTTCAGGATCAGCAGTCTCGGCAAATCACCCAGAACCAGGCGGCTTTGGCACAGGCCCGAATAAAAACGCGGCTTGCGTTTCCTAATGGCGTCAGCATTTCAGTGCTGCTGCTTGGCTTGCGCAGCCATAGCACTTGATGGGAACAGTCTCATCGTATACTTGTCACGCATAAACGGATAAGGGTTCTAGATGGTTCAAGAGGGTTGTCACTGAATCAAATGAAGTTCCTAGCAGGGTTGATACATTCCAGCTTCAAGATTTCCAGGACTTCGGGACCACTCGCAACCAATGTGAGCGAACGTTCGAGGTGTGAATATTGTATTGGCTTTGTCCAGGAAATCAACTTGCTAAAACTCCCAATCACTAAGTTCATGGCCATTATTGGCGGACAGTAATCTGCTGTCAGTTCTGCCTTCTATCAAGAAAGCAACTGCCGGACTCTACCCTGCAGCATAGCCGTTCTGCCACTGACTGCAGAGTCTTCCATAGCACTCTTCATTAGCGGTACTGGCAGATATGCGTTCTCCAATTCTGACATGGACTGCCTGGTCCATGTCCGAGGGCTTCATTGGCCGCAAGCAATGAACCTGGTCTGCTGGGTAGCCTCCGAGCAGCACGGAAACAGCAAGCATGTTTACCCTACATGGTGAATGCGATTATGCATGTGACATCAATGCCAGCATGCAAGAGTTTCCCGGAATGTTCTCTCCAGTGCTCTGAAGCGATCATTTAATGATATCATGGTCACAAAGAATGCAGTGATTCCAGAATCGCTCAAGCACAGCCTGCCATGGCTTCGCTAGCCATCGCAGCAGGTGGCGCCGACGAGGATGTTGTGGCCGTAGTGGGCGAAGTAGCCGGGGCAGCTGCAGGTGCAGGTGCCTGGAGTTTGAAGTGTCAGGAAATAAATCTTAGCTAGCATGTCATCCAATTCCTCTCCTGCGGGGCGCATCTGTTGCACTAAGTAGTCCTTTTATTTAAGTTGGCGTGGGAAGCCAGGCTTGCAAAAAACAACTATTGCTCAGCTAACATCTCTGCGCCGTGGACACTGGGTTCTATAGACAAGACCAGTTGCCTGGGGCTCCTCTTCCACCTCGTCCGTGATCTCTTCGATGATCGGACCCTGCCAGCTGCAGCACTCCCTATGGTTCTACAAGGTCATGACCGACTCATGAAGCGATAACAAATCTGACTGGTCCCCAGAAAGAGCGGACTACATACTGAAGCTAAAGCCCGGATGAAACCTGCGCCAAGGCCTCTCTTACTATAATTGCTACTAGTACTATTATTTCTATTATTGCTATTCTTATTCCAACATGTTCGCAACCAGAAAATGCGGGCATCTCGAGCCTGATACTCCTCCGCCGCACTGCCTGAACCTGCCCAAGTCCCAAGTCCTCCTACTCCACTGACTTAAGGATTTATCCTAAACCCTAATAGGGAATGTATAGGGGTTATATTGGGATAATGGAAAAAAAAAAGGTCTGTCTTTCACACGAGGGTTTCTATATAAGGTTCCAGATGTAAGGTGCGCCTGAGAAGCAAGCCTAGCAATTACAGGCGTGACTTCAAGAGCGCCGTCTATTTTGTAGAATCGAGCTGAAGAGTTGCGTCTTGCCGCGCTCATCGGCTCTGAAGGGCATGTCGGTATGCTACATGGGTTCTGAGGACTCTCTGGAGGGGTATAGGTCACACATACCGTGACTTACTTGCGACCAGCCCGCCACCTGGGAAGTGTGGCGGTTGAGCGAAACAACTTCCACCTACAAGAGCCATCAAGTCATTGCAGTCCATGTGGGCCCAACTCAGCCCCAGCGTCCACCCTCTTCCCCTGCACTGAATCAGGACCTGACACACAAAGAACTTTTTAGAAACAAAGGATTCACACACAAAAAAAAGATACGAAGCCTTACTGACCATGAGCCCTGCTAGCCCACTCTAGCCCTAGCCCACCCTCCGCCTGAAGCCTGCGCAGCACTCGATTCTGGAAGTGCGAAGTTCATGGGGCTGTCCTGCTTCTGCAGATTTTGCTCAGACTTCTTTCTGAAACAAGATTTGGCGTCAGAATTTCAGAGTGAAGGGAACACAATCAGAGTTTGCAACGTTGAGGCGGCTGGTTGAAAGCATGCGGGCATGGTGCGGGCTTGCTCCTCAACTACTACAAGGGCTAGGAGCTGAAAGCCTCCTCACGAATCAGAAAATAGGCCGAGGCAGCCGATGTGTAGTGCGACTAGACATGATGACCCTGGGCGTGCCTCTGACATGTAACGGTCACCCTGGTTGTTCCCTCTCAGGCCTTGCGCTGTATAATAAGGCACAAGCAGTCGACAAATGCCCCTCGTTTTAAGCCTAAGCCTGGCGAATATGCAACAAACCAAATGTCATATCCGTGTCCTGTGTGCCCTGCAAGTTTCGCTCGCAGAACGCCTTCATTGCCTCGCAGTACATGTAGGATATAGGTGGCGGGGCGTGTTTGGAGGCTGCATAGCATTCGGCCAAAAAAGAAGCGCTGCTGCACGGAGCTACATGGTCACCCTGCTGCGGGTCTTGAGATTTATGTATTGCGCATTGAAGCAAGATGTAAAGGGGCCGAAGTCTGCCACTGAAGAAAATCCAGAAGATAGGGCAGCCTGAAGGGTACATCTTTCTCCAAAGCAGGAAGGTCTATCGCAGATATGTCACAACTTGTCCAGGTCCGGGCCTCGCATGTCTCGAGAAGCCCAGTGCAGTCCGTGGACCTCAGAGCCAAATTGCAGCCCTTTTGGATGGGAGTACAGCTGCAACTACCAAACTAAAGGGAATTTGAAGAGGAACTAACCCTGACTGCGCCCATGGTCAGCTAGGGGCCCCATGGCCCTGCAGCTATCAAATACAAAAGCACTGGGCTGTTCATGTCGACGGGCAATTGAAATCTCAAATCCCTTTCTGCCCCAGCCTTTGAATGATCCGGGTGTAGGGTGTAACGGGAACCGGCCCGGGCCGTAACGGGAACCGTGAAACGGAAACCGGGCCACGTGTAACCGGAACCGGAGCCGCGTGAAACGGGAACCGTTGCCGCGTGTAACGGGAACCGCCGGGCGTGCAACCGGAACTGGCCGGGTGTAATGGGAAGCGACGAGTACGGACGCCCGAGCTACGGGAAAGACGGGAGCTGACCGACGCGTAGGTTTCCTGCGTGCTGGCGCGGTAGTACGGACAACCGCCTGGCCGGCACCTAATTTCCGATGCTTCTCCGCACGAAACCTTCTCCGACCCCCATTGACCCCGGCCCCTCCCCCCGCACACCCGTCACGCAGTCAACATGAGCCTCCTTTAGTGGCTTCCCGACCTTTCAAATAAGGTGACCGGCCGGCGGTCACCTTATTTTGACCAGCAGTCGACCTTCGAGAAGCGATCCCGAGCAACGAATGAACAGCCATACCGCCCCAGAAAACCTCTCATACACATCCATAATACGTGTAATATACAACCAGTATCCCTCTAATACGCCCCATGAACCTCCAATCTACCCCATTGGATCTTACCCCCCATAACTCCCCTAAGATAAAGTCACCAAAGATACACTCTGCAGCTCGTGGTACAAGAGTGCGGGGTTTAGTTTGAGGTTTGGGGCTTCAGGTTTAGGGTTTCAGGTTACAAGAGGGCGGGCGTGGTTCCTGTTACGGGGTGGTCTGGTTCCTGTAACGAGTAGACCCTTGGTTCCTGTCACGAAGTTCCTGTTATGACCCGCTGGTTCCTGTTACGCCTTTTACTCTTTGAATGATTCATCGCTCGTAGCCAACGAAGAATACAGAGGATCCAACGCTCAACCGTAGAGCTCTTTTTGGATATCCGAAGATAGGAGAACCCTGCCTTTGACTAATGCCATGTCCTGACCTTGTAACAGGGAAGCCTTGTTCAGCCCTCCTATCCCATGTAATGCCGACTTTTGCACCAGTCGGTCCCAAGTCATCCGACTTTTGCACCATACGGTCCAGCGCCCAAACCCCACAAATCTGGCTCTGAGATGCCAGCTTTTCGGCCTTGAGGAGCGGAATAGCCTCATCGAAGAGATCCTAGGCTGCGGAAGGAGGTCGGTCACATGCTGTGTTCTTCTCTTCCGGTTAGGAGTTGAAGTGTTCGGAATTTGGGGGCTAGGGCATCTAATTGCAAAACTGGTGATGATACTTAGCGTCTAACACAAAGGACACAAGACCCTGATCTCTTACACACCTCCAGCGATTACATAACCCTACCCCATCTCATGGACCTTATCAGTTCAACCGACAAGTATCCCCCAAGTCCAGGAAATCCGACTCACCCTCTCTCATGATAAGGCAGCTCGCAGGTCTGGGTCTATACTCCCCCTTAAGTACAACGTAGAATATGGGGGATATGGGGATCTTATTATAATATTCCCGAAGCCATATTCTATCTACTTAAGGGGGACTATAAGGTGGAGGCTCCGAGCTGACTTGCATGCACGGAGCACAGGGTTTGGCTTGGGCATCGTCATATAAACTCCACTCCGAAAAAAATCAGCGAACGACGGCACCTTCGAGAGGAAGCGAGGACAATCTCGTACTCCCTACAGCTCTGCACTGAATCTACTTCCAGAAACTATTCAACAAGTTAAGGTTCTCACAAGAAAGGGTACTCTCCCTGCGGAAAGCCACGTCGTCCCAACGTCCCCTGTCGTGCATAGCACCAAAGACCAAAGCTACACAGAATCCCTCAAGCCCCCGACCATCCGAAAAACAAGGGATGCCATAAAGTACACTTGCAAATGGTGGAAGGTGGGAATCACCTTCATGCAGCTCATAGTCAGAGCACGGGATCACATACTTTGCGCCAAACCAAGGGAACGACGTGTGACACCAACCTGTGCAGCCTCCAGAATGTCCCTCTGCGTAGAACCACCACATGACATGGTTTTTACCATCACCCATGAGACCCTCAAAAAACTACACGCTGATCACATCCCAAAACTTATTGGTGGTTAGAAGGGGAAGGGTCCCAAAAATTAGGGTCCTGTTTACCCCTAAATAAGAGGCGCAGTAATGGAATCTAAAACCAAAAGGGGCTCACAATTTTGAGAACAAACCATATACAAACATTGCATCCCTTCATTCCCTTCCCTGCTAACCGCCAGGAGGCAATCCCTAAGCCGGGTGTTTGTTGAATATATATATATATGCTAACCCCTCCCCCTAGGACCAACCTTGCAATGTTCCAAAATTCCAAAATTCTAAAATTC